ACCACTCCTGGGGGAGCTGGCTCTGCCCTGCTCTGTGCTGCGGTGGAGGGGGGGTGCTCAGCCCTCTCACCAGGTCGTCATCCCCCCACCAGGCACAGTAGGTGAGCTCCTAGAGGAAGGCCAGGGAATGTTTGTGGAGTGAACAAAGGGGAGTGGAGAGCCCTTGGGGCCCAGATGTGCAGATGTGCTCTGGGTCAGCAGGGCCCAGCCTGGCCCCCTCCAGGCACTCACCTCTAGAAGGAAGGTGACCCGGGAGTTGGCCGTGATCCCTGTGCTGCGATCAGTCAGCACACAGGACAGAGCCCCTCCTTTGTGGGGTTTTCCTTCCAGCCAAGGGCTCTTTCCCCCATCGGCCAGGGGGCTCATTCCGGAGGCTGATGGATGCAGAGGTGGTGAGTGATGGAACCCCTTCCTGAGCCCGACTCAGAGCACTTGGTTTACATTTCCAACTTCCTTAATCCTCACAAGGACCCTTGGCAATAGTGCTGTCAACCTGGTCCTCGTCCACATGAGGAAACAGGCCAGGACAGTTGGCCACTGCCCGATCCCACAGCCAGCGGGGGTCAGGGGCTGATCTGGCTCCGGGCGTGCGTTCCCCACTGCCTCTCAGCCTGGGCAGCATCAGCCATCGCACCCTCCCGTGTGGCATTCCTGCTGCACCTCAGGGCACCAGAGAGCGGCGTCGCGGGGGCACCCCAGGCCCGGTGCCCATAGGAAGAGGCCAGAATGGGGGGCTAGGGCCTGAGTGTCATGTGGCCAGACAGAGGAGAGGGCCACCTCTGCTGGGGCCAGGACAGCTGTGGGGGTCGTCCCGGCCACCCACCCAGCTGCCAGCTACTCTCAGGAGCCAGACCTGCTCAGGTCTGAAGGTCAGCCCTGTGGCTGAGGGCACCTCTGGGAGGTGTTTCCTAATAACCCCTCTGTGCCCCGGTCTTCAGGGGTGACATGCAGCCTACCCTGCGGGGTTGATAGAATTAAACGAGGGGGTTTGTACGAGGCCCAGTGCATGCTCGAGTCTCAGTTCCTCACTTTGTTCATTCAGTATGTTTCTCATGTGCCTCTGGTGTGCACAGGCTGGCAGGACAAGCTCAGGCCTCTGGAGTGGCAGGCTGGCTTTGTCCCTCCAGCTCGTGACACCTCCAGTCCCTCACACGCCTCCATAGACCCCATCCGCCCTCGGGACCTGCACCCGCCCCTCATTTCAGGAAAAATGAGGGTCTTCCCCAGGCTCAGCTGCACCCATGCTGGTCAGCTCTTTCCTGATAACACCAATCGATTCTGTACGCATTTCGAGCATCCATCCTTACAACACCCTACGGGGTGTTCTTGATGTGGGCCACCCCCACAGAGCTGCTTCCCTCCCGGGTCCTGCCCCTGCTTCTTCTCTGTTCTCCCACCTTGGCCTGCAAGATTTTCTCCAAGAGGCGTGGTGCCTCACGCCATAGGCCGTCCTGATATTTCTGATGCTCCCAGTTTGGGCCTCTCTCCCTCTGCTCTCTCCAGGTCACACGGTAAGAAACACATACAGGTCAGCTCTCCCCCAACCATGCTGTCTGCACTCCCCAGGCACACAGACACCAAGGACAGCCCTCCTAGTGCCCACCTCCCCGTGCCTAGTCTTTCCTCCGTGGGACCCTGGCCTGCCCTCCAGAAGGCCATGTGGCTGCCACTGCCTTCCCCAAGCACCGGGTGGAACATTTCCTTCCCCTGAGCCCCTGCGTATCTATCCCAGGATTCTTGGCTAGTATTTTAAGGCCTGATGATCATAGCTGGCTTTTACAGCCCCCTGCTGGCCCAGCCAGGGCACACACCTTCTGGACCCCTTGTTCCCCAGGAGCCCCTGGGCAAGTCATCCTGAGCTTTAGGGGTGATCAGAGTGCTACCCCGTAGGGTGTTGTAAGGATGGACACTCGAAGTGTGTACAGAATCGACTGGTGTTATCAGGAAAGAGCTGACCAGCATGGGTGCAGCTGAGCCTGGGGAAGACCCTCATTTTTCCTGGAGTGAGGTGTGGGTGCAGGTCCCGAGGGCGGATGGGGTCTATGGAGGCGTGTGAGGGACTGGAGGTGTCACGAGCTGGAGGGACAAAGCCAGCCTGCCACTCCAGAGGCCTGAGCTTGTCCTGCCAGCCTGTGCAGGAAGGCGCTCCCTCCTGGGTCTCCACACCCTGAACTGTCAGTTGCTACACTGGGTGGCTTCCTGGTGGAGGTGGCCAAAGGCCCCTGAACCTCTCTTCCCTGGCCTTGTAGGGACAGAAGATGAGCCTATCGGTCTTGGAGGGCATGGGCTTCCGCGTGGGCCAGGCCCTGGGCGAGAGGTGAGAGGTGGGCAGGGCCCAAGGTGGGGTCCCTTCCTGGGCATGCCCAGGCGGGGATGGGGTGTGGCTCCACACAGGAACCCAGCCTGGCTCCACAGTGTCTGCCAATGCCCCCCAGGCTGCCACGGGAGATGCTGGCCTTCAGGGAGGAGCTGGATGTCCTCAAGTTCCTGTGCAAAGACCTGTGGGTGGCTGTGTTCCAAAAGCAGATGGACAGCCTCCGCACCAATCACCAGGTGCGTGCCCAAGCCTGGCCCCACCTGACATCAGAAGGGCTGGGGGAGGGGGACCACCATGGAGGGAAGTTGCAGCCGGCCCTCCCCAGCTGGGAGGCAGGCACAGCCCCCGTCGGGCCCTCTGTGCGATCCTGATCCTTCAAGGGAAGCCAGGAGGCTGCAGTGGGGCATTGCAGCTATTCCCAGATGACCACAAGCCTCCAGGGTGGCCCCAGGGCGGCAGAAGGCCCCTCGTGACACTGCCTGTCTCAGCCTGGTCTGAGTTCCCATCGGGCACCTGCACTGTGCCTTGGCCCAGCTGGCCGCTCCCCAAGCCTGGCTGGCAGCTTCTCACAACCCTGGGAAGTCCTGCATCTTGGAAGGCAGTGGGGGTGGGGAGGACCAACACACCCCCCATGGGTGGACATCAGGCCTGGGTCTGAAAGCCCGTGGACCCTTCTGCAGCTCTGAAGGGCGGGCCTGTGACCACAGTAGTTTTGAGGGAAGGGTCCTCACAGACCTCATCGCAGAGGAGCTGGGGCACTGGGTCCCTGCTTCCCTTCCTCCCACCACAAAGGTACAGTGCCAGCCCAGCCCCCATGGGCCCCTTCTCTGTCCCCAGGGAACCTACGTCCTGCAGGACAACAGCTTCCCTCTCCTTGTCCGGATGGCCTCGGGCCAGCAGTACCTGGAGGAAGCGCCAAAGGTATGCGGGCAGTCCTGGGACTCCAGCCCCACCGCCAGGTAGGCCCCTGCCCAAGCCCAGGACCCCGGGAAAGGGTGGACCCCGCGGTGAGGCCCAAATCCCAGCATGGCCCATGGCCCTGGGTGTTGGCCTGCCTTCTCTTCCCACGGTGACCTGTGCCCCCGCCCCCAGTTCCTGGCCTTCACCTGCGGCCTGCTGCGCGGCGCCCTCAGCACCCTGGGCATCAAGAGCCTGGTCACCGCCTCCGTGGCAGCCCTGCCCGCCTGTGAGTTGGGGTGTGGGGGGGTCTTCCCATCCCTTGAGGCTAGCAGGGGCTCCAAAGTCAGGCCCCACAGAACTTGCAGCCTGCGTGATGGGGTGTCTTTTGGACCCCCAGGGCCCCACTGGTCCACAGAGTCCTCAGTCAGACAGAGGACAGGCAGGGACCTGGAGCAGCCTGCAGCCAGACCTCCACTCCCCGTCCCTCCCGGTGCTTTCCCTCTGCTGGTCCCCAGGGGGGCACAGGGCCCAAGTGGGCAGGCTCTGAGCAACATGTGCAAAACATGCCATGGAAGCTGCACCAGGCCCCTCCCTGGCGACCTACATGCTTGGCCTCTGTGCCCTCAGTCACCCACACATCCCTGGGATGCAGGGCAGGTGGGCGGAGAGCATCACCCCTCTGACCAGTGAGGAAACAGGCCCCGCCTGAGGCCACCCAGGCTGACATGCAGGGCAGGGATGAACGTCTCTGAGCTCTTGGGGTGCTTTCTGCTTCTCCCCTCCGACCTGCCTCAAGCTAAAGCCAACCCGTCTTTTCCAGGTAAGTTCCAGGTGGTGATCCAGAAATCCTGAGGTGCTTCAGGTCCCATCCCCAGCTGAGCCTCACGCTGGCCCGGGGACCCGGCCACTGCCTCTGGTGGAGGCCAGAGGGCTGATGCTAAGGAGACAGGGTCCTGCCACTTCAGGGCATCACACAGGCTCAACAGATGGGTGTCATAGGGAGGTGGGGGCGTCCCAGGGGCAAGGTGGTCCCTGCCGCAGTCAGGGCTGATGTGGAGGGATGCCCGAGTTGGACACATTTCTCCACATGGCAGATGTTCAATAAAGGTTCTATCCGTGGAACCAGATTCAAAGTGGAAGGTGGGGGTCACTCAATGCTACGAGGGGAGGGGCATCTGCAAGCTACAGTTCGTGTCGTGGATCCTATGGGGAAGCAGAGTACCCCACGTAGCTCCTCATCCCTCATTTCCTGCCCTCCTGCTCTCCCTCCACCCTGGCCTGAGCCCTGGAGCTTGCTGCCTCTCACTCATCCGGCACACCTAGCAGGGGCGGGCAGCCCCCAGTGCTGGCAGCCTCACCACATCAACAAGTCTACGGCTGCCCTCTGCCCAGCAGGCCCCACGGGACGGACCTCTCTTTGGGAGCAGGGCCAGGGGCCCTGAGTGACCGGAGTGCCGGCAGGGGTGGGCTGGACTGGGGGCTGCCAGAACGAAGAATGGATGGAGGTGGGGTGAGCCAGACACCCTCAGTTCCAACCCCCGCCCCTGAGAGCGTGTGTGCGCACACACACACATACTTCATGTGCCTGGCGGACTCGAGTCATATCCAGAACATGGCCGGGCTGACCAGTCCCCAGGCAGCTTGGCATCTGTGCCCTCACCCCTCCCCCTGACGTCTCCCCTGTTTACATTCATAGTATCTGGGGGCATCACACATCTGGACTCTGCCAGGCTCTGCCACCTGCTGCTTGAGCTGGGTAAGTACCCCTGCCTCAAGCTGTAAACTGAGGCTGGGGGAAACCCAAAGGGAGGAGGAAGGGTCTCCTTGTTTAAAACACCCACAGTAGGTGGGGCTTCTCTACCTCTGTAGAGTCTGGTGCAGACACCCTGTCCAGCCGCCCCTCCCCAGCGCACTCAGCTCAGCACCACGTTCCCTGGCTTGCCTCTGAGCCTTTGCACATGCTGTTCCCTGCCTGAGTACCCAACTCTCCAAACTCATGCTCCCTCTTTGGTGTCCAGCAGCCTCGCAGCCTCTGCTGACCACCGGACCCCTTGAAGTGGTTACTCACTCGCCCTGAGCCTGCAGCCCTGAGCAGGCTCCCTGACAGCCTCATCCTGCCGTGCTCTGTGTTTACTTGTTTACAGCCCAGGAGCCTTTCCTCTTCGGTCCCTCTGGGTCCCTGGGCTGGGTGCTGGCACTGTCCAGCACAGAGCCTGCAGGTGTTTCCCAAATGAATTGCAGTTACTCAGCTTTGTCTGAGGGCAGCCGGGGAGAGCAGGGGATTGGCCTAGCCCTGCCCTCAAGAAGCTCAGGGGCTGTCCTGAAGGTTCCCTTGCAGACTCACCCCTCACTCAGACACACTAGCCTGGCCTCCCCTGACAGGACTGGGGTGTGGAGAAGGGGGCTGAGCACTGAACTGGCAGAGGAGAGGAAGGAAGTCTTCCTGGGAGAAGTAGCTTAAGGCCTGGGGGAGGAGAGAGAAGTAGCCCAGGGGAGGGAAGAGGGCATAGCTTGGCTACCGGGGGCAGTGTCTGGTCAGTGGGGTGCCCTGCAGGGCTGGTCGGCTCCCTTCTCTCTTGTCCTGGGCACTGTTCTGTGGTTGCCTCTCCTTCTCCCCATCAGGCCAGCAGCAGGGAGACAGGACCCTAGAGAGCAGAGGAGCCCCCACGGTATCTAAGGCACGTCTTGCCCAACCCCAGCCCCACCTGCCCCCTCACCTCTCAAAGAATGTCTGCAAGTGTCATCATTTTACATGAAGCATCTAGAGCAGCTGGTAAATGGGTTGGTTGGTTGGTGCCCAGGGAGCATGAGCTGCCACTGTCACTGCTGGGTGCCAGGATCTGTGCTCAGCGGGCTCCTCCTGACAACCATGAGAGGCAGGCATGGATGCTGGCCCACTTAGCAATGAGGAAATCAAGGCTCAGAGAGGTGAAGTCACCTGCCTAAGGCCACACAGCTGGGCCCTGGAGGAACTGGCAGCTGAACCCAGGACTGCATCTTCTCTGGGCCTAGACTCCCACTCCCTGTCCCAGCTTCCTTCCCTGCCACAGCAGCCGGGCCCAGGGGCTGGCCCCATAGATCCCCTGGCAGGTCCCGCCCCAGGCAGCACCGAGGCAGGCCATCTCCATCCCTTACGGGGGGCACTGCACAGGGGCAGGCCTCAGTCCTCAGGGGGCAGCCCCCAGTCCTCGAGAGCATAGCTCCCCGACAGGGACAGGCCAGGCGGGCTGAGGAAGGGGCGGGGACAAGGTGGGCAAACCGGTCGGGCAGCTGGGCTCCCAGCTCCCGGGCCTCTCACCAGCTGGGCCTGCGCTGACTGACGCAGCTGGCGGCGGGCAGTGGGGCTGGTACAGCAGCTCGGCGGGGCAGGGAGCTGGGGCTGTGAAGCTGCTGTCAGGTACGTGGGACCCCGGACTGGGGGGATGGGAGTGGGCAGGGGCCACGTGCCTAGCCCCCAACCCTCACTGACCCTTACTCTCATCACCCTGTTTCCTCTGCCTCAGGGCTTCCCCTGTCCCCGCCTCCAAACAGCATCCTTCCTTCACTTCTGCTTTGGGCTCTTGACATTTTAAATCCAGAGCACTTCATCTCATCCCCAGTAGGCTGAGCCTCTCCCCAAATCAGACCACCCTGATTTCATTTGCTCCCCTAGAGTCCCCCTCCCTCCAACCCTCCAACCGAATGTCCCAGCCCCGAAATTTCAGGCACTTGTGGCTCACTGCTTCCCACCTCTCACCACACTGAGGTGGGAAAGGGGCCCCACCTTCCACAGCATACACCCCAGTGCCTAGGTCCCCCTTATTTTTACTCAACTACCCACCGGCTCCCAGATTCTGTCTGCTCAGCACCGCCACTGTCCTGGCCTCTTGGAAATTCCTAGCAGCTCCCAAACACCCAATTACCTAACCCTTGGAAACCTTACCCACCCCAAATTAGCCCCTAACACCCCCCCAACTGTTCTCTGTCCTCCCACGTCTGGCCATCCGTCCCCTGTCCTGACCTCTCACTGTTACTCAGAAGAGCCCCTCTGCCCCACCTGGGAGACCCAGGCCCCCAACATCAGGGACGAGGTCTCTCATCCATCTCAGGTCACAGGGAGCTGTCATGGTGAAGGGTGGGGGGCCCTTGCTGGGGCCTGAGAGGGCTGGGCACTGAGCCTGGCCCTGCCCCACTCTTCTCTACACAGACCCCCGGCCACCATGCACAAGCACTACACCGTCCACTTCGCCAAGGGCTCCCGGCCGCCCACCGACTGCTATTTCTTGGACCCGGAAATGGGGCACCAAAAAGGTAGGGGTTCAGTTTGGGGGGTCTGGCAGGGAGAAAGGCCTGTGAGTTGGGGGCTGCTGAGTGGATTGCTAAGCAGAAAACCTCAGGCCCCAGGGGAAAATGCCACCAGCGCTCACCATCAGAGGCTTCCGCACAGAGGGCCAAAGGTGGGAGCCTGAGCTGGGATGCCAGCGGGGGAGGCCCACCCGGCCTGCCCCTTCCCCAGCATGGAAAGAATCCCCTCCCCAGATCGCCAGGCCTGTGGGGACTGCCCCACAACATGGCAGCTTTGGGTGTGGGTAGGAGAGCGAGCCCCCGCCCCACGCTGAGTGTATTCGAACAAGGCGGGGGTTCAGCCTCCCACGGTGACCGCAGGTGCTCCTGCCCGGGGTTCAGAGGGGGCAGTTAGCCCCCATTAGGGCTGATTCAGCCTCCTTGCCTCCCAGGGCAGCCCCATTCCTGCTGGCCTATTCTGAGCCCAGGTGCAAAGGCCAACCCCCTTCTCAGTCCCCATGCCAGCCCCCTCCCCACAGCCACCGCCCATCACGCTGGCCTCCTCTGGACCAATGAGGCCAGCTCCCAATGGATTGCTCTCAGTCCCCCCTCACTGGGGACACCCCAGGGACCAATGATTTTGGGGTAGCAGGGACTCTGGGGCATCATGCCCTCTCCAGCCCCTCACCTGGCTAGAGTCCAGGCCCCTGGACCTCTTCTCCCCTGACCTGTGGAAGAGCACAGAGTGGGGCCCCTCTGCCCACACCCACCTCGTCATTTTCCCCAACTCCTCTTGAGCCTCAGCTGAGAGATAAGCCCCAGCCTGCACCTGAAGATCTGACCTGGTTCCTGCTGGTGCCCCTCAGGGGTCAGGGACCCAGGCCCAGTCACCCCCACTTCCTTCCTTCCAGGATGCTGTCATCAGTGGTGCCATGACCTAGCAGCACCTGGAGCCCACGGGCCCTGTTGGCCGCTCCCCCAGGCATGCTGGCAGTTGGCCTACCACAGCCACAGGGGGTGTGTCGGCGGCTGTCGCTGGGGCCCCCAGCCCCCGCTCCTGCAGCAGCAGCAGCAGCGGTGGCAGCCCCAGGCCCCAGCTCCCAGCCCCCTGCGGCAGCGGCTCTACCCTGCCCAAAGGGCCCAGAAGGGGATGCCTGCCACCTCAACTGCCCCCGTACAACCAGCCAGCGCCCCCCAGCCGCCCCCCGCACCCACCACGGCACACACCACGGCCAGCAGCAGCCCGGCCCTGCCCTCCGCCACCGGCACCCTCCTGGAGCCCAGCAGGCCCACTGAGGCTCGGCCCCTGCCTGCCCCCACTGCCTATGGCTCCTTCACCTCCTACAGCTCCGGTGCTTACCCTGCCTTCCCAGGACTCTGTCCCTGCTGCCTCGCTTCCCACCTGGGCCTAGGGCCTGCCATCCTCACCCCTTGCTCTGGTCCCTTGCCCTGGGCCTCGGGCGGCCACCCCTGCTTCACCTGCTGGGATCCAAGCTTCTAGGCCGGGCCTGTCCACAGTGCCCCCGTCCTGGGCTGGCCAGGGGCCTGGGCCCCAGCTCTCACCCTCTGCTGACACCCTAGCTCTGCTTTCTCTCTTCCCTGCCCTTCCTCTGCAGAGGACTTGGAGCAGGGGGCCGCGCACACCCGCTTGTTGGCCAGCTCTGGTATGGGGGAGACGGGTCAAGTGTGCGGCTAAAGCAGGAGGTAGGAAGCAGCCTAGGGGATGGAGAGAGCAAGGCAGCCATGGGAGGGGTTCCACCCACCCCCTCACTCACACACTCACTCATTCATTCTGTGACTAGGTGGTGCTGGACCCTGTAGTGGGTACCAGCTGCTGTTCTGGGGGTGCCCCAGGAAGCTGGGCAGACAGAGATCATCGCCTTTGTGGAGCTCAGGGTCCATGGTGGTGGGGTGGGAGGGGCGGACACAAGAAACAAGATAAGTAGCAAAGTTCAAAAGTGTGTCACCAGCTGATAACCAGGATGGGGAAGAATAAAGCAAGGAGAGAGGAGGGCACATCAGGGTTGGCAAATTAAACAGGATCATCAGGTGAAGCCCCACGAAGGTGACATTTGAGCAAAGATGGGGCAGTTCTCTCAAGTAAGTGGCAGCAGGATCAGCAAATGCAAAGATTCTGTTGGGGCCAGGGGGAGGCAAGGAGGTCCACATGGCTTGAGCAGGGGGCAGTGAGGAGGAAGATCAGAGGGTGTGCAAGAGGGAAGAAGGCGGCCAGACGCTGTGGGCCTCGTGGCCGCTGGCCGCGGTGAAGGCTCGGCTTTTGACATCCCAGGGAGGTGGGACCCTGAGGCACAAGCACTGACTTGAGATCCGACAGGAAAGTGGACTGGAGGAGGCGGGGGGTGGGAAACTGGAGTCCAGGCGAGAGGAGCTGGTGGCCTGACCAGGGAGGTAGAGGTGGAGGTACGTGTTGGGTCTGGTTGGAAAACAGAACAACAGCTTCACAGGGACTTGGCCCCAAGGCAGACACGACCTTGTCCCTACAGCCTCTGGGCCACGCTGCCCATTTCACTCAAGGGAAGTAGAGGCTCGATGAGGTGAGGTCAGCCAGCCACCAGGCACAGCAGGCTCAGATCTTCCCGGCCGCCAGCTTAGCTGACCTCGGCGGAGTCTTCCTCCTGCCCTCCCAGCTATGCCTCCAGGCCCTGTGCCGGCCCTCAGGGAGGGAAGGAAGCTACAGCCCAGGCCTCTGTGAAAGTGGGTGTTTCCTCCCCACCATGCCCTGTGAGGCCAGCCTGGCGCCCCCCCCACACACACACTGAGCCCTACCTTTCTGGTGCCCCAACTCTGGGTCCACGAAACAGTGCTCAGTGGGAGCCCGAGACGGGAGGGCAGGCACCCTCTGCAGAGTGGACACTATAGTGCTTGCGCATTAAATGCTTGTGCCAGAAATTACCCCAGAACCTGTGCCCTAAAGGGCCATTCCAGACGACGACATTGACAGAGGGCCCACCCCTGTGGCCAGGCCCTTTGGCACCCACACTCTCTGGCATCTCTGCATCCCACTCTTCAGAGGAGGGGACTGAGCCTCTCAGGGGCATCACTCTGCCCGGTATGCAGAGAAAGGTGGCAGGGCCAGGACCAGAAGATGCGTCTGCCCAGGCTGGGGCAGGATTAGGGACTTGCGGGCACAGGGTCACAGAGAGGTGGACAGAGCAGAGGAAGGAGTGGGCAGGAAGCTGAGGAGCCTGTGGCTGTCGGGGCCCGGCTGTACTCAGAGCCAGGCTGACAGAGGAGGAAGGAACTGACACGGAGAAGTTTTGAGCATGGAAAGCGGTATCTTAAGTATTTGCAGGCCTGGAGTCTCAAGAAAAGCCCATGGGATTTTCCTAGGGGGACCACGGGCTGGTGGCTGAGCCTGGTGACCTAAGGCCAGGGCAGCCAAGTACCCACACGTGTCTGGGTCGGGGCCAGAGGGAAACTAGCCTTCCAGCCTTTGCCTGGTGGGTCTGGGGCCCAGAGGGACACAGATGCTTCTGTCTGAGGGTTTGACCTGAGTCATCTCTGGGAGTCAGGGAGGGAGATCCCTGTGCAGGGAGCAGCTGAGGGCAGGCACTGGGGAGGGCAGATGGGAGGAGGGTGGTGCCTGGCCAGCCTCATTGACTCAGTTTCCCCACCTCTACCCCCTCCTCAACCCCGGCCCCCAGAGATCCTGACAGAGGATGATGTCTACTGCAGCTGCCTGGCCAAGACCCTCTGCCACGTGCCCGTCCCTGTGACTGTGGGTTTCTATGCCCCCTTTGGCTGCCGCCTGCACCTGATGCTGGACAAGATCACAGGTGAGGATCTGCGTGCGTTGGGGGAGGGGTGATTAAGGGAAACGAAGCCTCTGGTCCCTGCCCAGCCCCAGGTTTCCCCAAGACCAGCTCACTCCTAAGGCTGGTCCGCTCCAGTCCAGATGCCCATAAGTCAGCATTAACCGGGTCCCTCCCCACACCCATAGCCTCTGCCCCCCAAACCCCAGTTCCTTGCTCCAGTTTCATCTCCAGCCTCCTGGCCTCCAGCCTCACCCCGTCCTCCACCAAATCTACTGCAAGGAATCTTTCTAAAAAGCCCTATTCCTCCCCTGCTCAAAAGCCTCCCACATCTCCCCAGCATCCTAGGGAGAAAGCCCAGGTTCCTCACTCCTGCTAAGTCCCTCCTGGCTTCTGTGCTCCTCGGACCCGTCTCTTCTCCTCAGCCCTGGCCCCAGGCCTGGTGCCCATGAGACCCCTGGCAGATAATGTTAATTGAAGACATGAGCTGAAACCCAGCCAAGTTCCACAGGAGCTCAGCACTGGTTCAACCCTGTGGGGGCTCAGACCCTAGCCCTGATCACGGTCAGAGAGGCTGGAGGTGACTCACCTCCAAATGCCTGGCCCTGGTGAGCACTTCCTAAACAAGCCCACATCCTGCCTCTGTGTTGTCACGGAACAGCAAACAGGGTCCTGGGAGGAGAAGAGATGCGGCTATAAGGAAAAGGGAGACAGCATGACGGACCTTCTAGGCTGTGCTGGGTGACTCCCACTTGTTCACTCCCTAACCTTACAGCAGGCAGATCCTGCCCCAACTTCTCGTGAGCCATCCTCCAGACATTCTCCCAGCACTTCCTCAGTGCTCAAGGGGCACAGGGTGACCAAAACAGCCAGAGCCCTACCCTTCCTGGGCTCACAGACCAGTGAGGGACCTGGGAACAGACCTGTCCCCAGACAATTGATGACCCAGAGTGGGGTGGGGGAGCCAGGGACACCTGACCCAGCTTGGGGATCAGGGAAGACTTCCTGGAGGAGGAGACAGCTGAGCTGTGAGCTGGAGGAAAAGCAGTTAAGCCAGGAAAATTGGGCCAAGCTGTGCCCTTGCAGCATCTCTTCCTCAGCACCTCCAATGCTCTCTTTCATTCCTTAGAGCCCTCCCTGCCTCTCTCCTCTGACCCTCACCTCCCCCTCAAGACTCTTTCCTGTTCAAGCCTGGCTCCAGGCCTCTCCTTCTGCACTTGCTCAGCTTTCTGGGATGGGCCCTACCCAGGCCTGAGCCTGGTCCCCGCGGCCAGAGCCCAGCTGCTCACACCGTACCCCCAACCCCTCGCCGGGTGCCTTCGGTCCCCGCAGCGCTGATGCAGCAGGAGGCGACCCAGCGCGAGGCCGAGGAGCTCCAGCGCGTGCAATGCAGGCCGCGGTCAGTGCGCGGCTGGGGCTTCCCACAGCTTCTGTGGTACCTGGTGTTCCTGCAGCCCGTCATCACAGAAGTGCACCTGCGGCGCAAGAACGTGAAGTTCCTCTTCATCCGCTTCAGCGCCTGGCAGTACGCGGGCACGGACAAGCTGTGGGCCGGCCTGGTCACCACGCTGTGCGAGGGCATCCGCCATCACTACGGCGCGCTGCCCTTCAGCGTGTACTCGGTGATGGGCAACAAGCCGGGCGCGACGCCAGGCTTCTGCCAACGCGAGTGGCACTGCCGGCTGCGCGTGTGCCTGGCGCTGCTGGCGCTGCTGGCGGCGCTCAGCCTGGGCGTGGGCCTGCTCTACTTGTCGGTGGGCAGCCGCTCACTGGGCCACGGCGGCGCCAACGGCAGCCTGCTCCAGGTGGTCGGGGGCGCGGCCACCACACTGTCGGGCTCCGGGCTGCTCATGGCCGTGTACTCAGTGGGCAAGCACCTGTTCGTGAGCCAGCGCAAGAAGATTGAGCGGCTGGTGTCGCGAGAGAAGTTCGGCAGCCAGCTGGGCTTCATGTGCGAGGTGAAGAAGGAGGTGGAGCTGCTCACTGACTTCCTGTGCTTCCTGGAGATCTACCAGCAGTGCCGGCTGCGCGTTGTGCTCGAGGTCACGGGGCTGGACACTTGCTACCCGGAGCGCGTGGTGGGCGTGCTCAACGCCATGAATACACTGCTGTCCGACAGCCACGCGCCCTTCATCTTCATCCTGGTGGTGGACCCCAGCATCCTGGCCGCGTGCCTCGAGAGCGCCGGCTCCATGAAGGGCACGGCCGACAATGGCTACCTCTTCCTCAACCGCACCGTCACGCTGCCCTTCTCCGTGCCCATCATGGGCCGCCGCACCAAGCTGCAGTTCCTGCACGACGCGGTGCAGAGCCGCGACGACCTGCTCTATCGCGAGATGACGCGCAAGCTGCGGCCGCCGGGCGGGGCGGGGGACGGCGAGGGCACGCGGCTCCTAGGGGTGGAGACGCGGGCGGGGGCCGAGCGCGCGCAGAGCCGCATCGACGCCGAGGCCGCGCGCCGCATCCAGGAGGCGCTCTTCTGCCTGCACGACGAGCGCGACTGCCTCTACGAGTACGTGCCCGACAACGTGGTGTCCATGCGGCGCATCGTCAACACGGTGCCCATCACTGTGCGCCTGCTGCAGCAGCAGCAGCAGGGGGACTTCGTGGGCCCCTCGCCGCGCCAGGCCGTGGCTTGGGTCGTCCTCGCCAACCAGTGGCCATGCCGCCTCAGCTGGGTGCTGCAGTGCCTGGAGGACCGGCAGCAGGCTGGGGGCGCGCCCGACGCCCGCGCGCGCCTCTGGGACGTGTTCTGCGACAACAGCCACGAGCTGCACACCATGACCAAGGCGCTGCAGAACGTGCTCGACCTAGACGGCGACCCCGAGCTTTTCGAGCGCTTCCTGGACTCCGACTTCCCCTTCACCGTGGCCGAGGCGCAGAGCCTGCTGCGCTGCACGGTCAACCTGGATCATTCCATCCGCCGCCGCATGGGCCTCATCCGGGCGGTCAGTGCGCTCAAGCCGCCCAGCCCACCCAAGTCCCCTGCCCACGACGCCCCCCACGCCGCCAACGGAGCCAACCAAGCCCCACGGGCAGCCGTGTCAGGTCACTTTGCAGGGCACACCCCTGCGCATGCCAGGGAAGCCCACCACCCCCAGGACTGGGTTCAATGGGGCAAGCCCAGACCTGTGGCTTAAGCGCCTATCTCTCCAGGGGAATCCAGCCCAGGCAGGCTTTGAATGGAAGACTCTGGGGTGGCAGGAGGCAATAATTCCATCTGTCCAGATAAGGGTGTAAGGGGGCATGACTGGGCCAAGACCCAGGGTCGTTTTCAGAATGAAGCCTGTGGTAGCCATGATCCCCAGGGGAATCTGTGAGCCAGAGAGAGCTGTTGGCAGTAGCCACCAGGAGTGGGCAGTGTATCAGTGCCAGTGTGAGAGCTGGGGCAGAAGGACCGGTGGCGGAACTCAGGTTCAAGTGCAATAAATGAAGATGTGAAAGCCCCTGATTGCTCTTCGTGCCCTGGTCTCCCGGGCTCAGTGAGGGCTGAGGACAAGGCCAGCTCTGTCCTGCCAAGCTCACTTCATCTCCAGGGAGTCGGGCAGTCTCAGCTGGCAGCCTCATGGCTGGCATCCCGGTGGCAGGTGGGGCTGCGGGGGCGGTGGGAGAGGCTGCAGAGTCAGGGGAGATGAAGGACAGACGGATGTGCAGGTTGACTCAGTGGAGAGCGCCCAGGCCTCAGGGAATCCAGGTCTTTGTCCCTACACCCTAGCTTGCCCCTCTGTAGGCAGGGCAGGAGCTGGCATTTCCGAAGGCGGTGTCCCTGGTGACCTCAGCAGGCTGATCCACTCTCTCGGGGTGGCTCCACCCCGGGCCTAATGGGTTAATTAGGCCCCGCTGGCACCTCAGTCAGCTGAGGTGGGCACTGCTGCCTCCCTGGACAAGTAACTGTCCAGGGGGTGCCTACCTTATGGGTCACTCCAGGGCCACCTGATGAGCCCCTTGATGAGGACAGGGAAGTTGAGCAGAGATGGTGCACTTGTAGGACACCGAGTTGGGGCCAGAGCCAGGCTGAGGAGGGGCTTTTCCCAGGGCTGGACTCCACCACCGTGCCTTACCACCTTCCCTCCTACCGGTGGGATAGAGACCTAGAATGTGTGCACCACGCCTCTGGGCAGCTTCTGGTTCCTCACTGGTCAAACAGCCACACAGGCCTGTGGCGTGCCTGGCCCAGTCCAATGGGGGATGGGGGACCAACACTTAACATATCCTGTGTGACCAGAGGTCAAGGGTATGACTTCTGAGCCAGGGCCCCCAGAGCTGTGGAGACAGTCCCAGAGGGAGCCAGGAGCACTGCAATGATGCACCACCCTCAGGCTGTGCAGTCTGGTAGGGATCCTGACCTCACATGCCTTAGCTCCAAGACTGGGCACAGCACCCCAACATCCCTGGCCAGTAATTGCTTCAAAATGGAAGCAGGGAAGAGAACCAGCCTGGGACTTTACAGGAGCTGCCAGAACTGAAGCACCAGCAGTCCCGGCACAGCTGAGCTAGTGGGATAAAGCTGGACATGCTGGGAGCTGTTTTCCAGCAGTAGCAGGTGAGCCTGCCCCAGAATGAAACCACTGTGGAGACACGTGGGTCCTCGTGACACTGTTAGATCAGTGTCTCTGTAGACGCGCTACTGGAGCCAACAGATATCCTTTCCCTTTTGTTCCCTAAGCTAATTTGACTTGGGCTTGTTTTTTACCACCAGAGTCCAAGCTGAAAACAGGCTGGCACTGGGAGTGGGGTGCTCGGGAGGCAGAACTAACCAGTAGACTCAGTTGGCAGACAGGAGCAGAACTGAGAACCCCCCAGGCCCCAATGAGAAGCTGCTCCCTATTACTTGGTACCAAGTTGTGGCTTGTTTATCTTAGGCTGACCACACACCTGCCAAAGCTAGAGCTGTGGGAGACTTAGAGGAAGAAAAAAAAAACAGGATGTCAGAGGGGCTGGGTGTGGCCAAGATGGCGCCCTGTCCACCAGCATTCAGGGCCTTTCTCTTGTGTGGAGCTTTTGCTGAAAACTTGCCCCTAGAAGGGAGTGGAAGTGGTGTGTGTCCCTTTCCCACCAGGACAAGAGGCAAATGCCTTCTCCATTCTCCTCCCCCACTGGCTGCTGGATGCAGGGTCTCCTGGGGACCTAGGGGATGCAGAGCCACCAGAGGGCGGGGGCCTGGGTCCAGGAGTCACTTTGGAGCACAGCTGCCTGCCACCCCAAACCCCCACATGCATGAAAGTAAACTCTCCCATGTTAGGATATTGAGATATTTAACGTGTGGTACAGCATCTAGCCAAGGAATAAAATGGCCTCCTGTCTTCACAAGAAGCTCGGGCAACACTTGAATGGCTGAAGGCAAAAGAAAGAAAATACTTGGCCAAAGGGATCTACCTCTGTGACCCAGGACCCCTAAGAGCTGGAAAATTGGGAGCACTTCAGAAATGGTCTGTCAGTCTCCTGGGGCTGCTATAACAAAGTCCCACCAACTGGGAAGCCCAGAACAACCAAAGATTATTCTCTGAGTTCTGGAGGCCAGAAGTCCAAAATCAAGGAGTCGGCAGAGCCACACGCACCCCCAAACCTGCAGGGGAATCCTTCCTTGCCTCTTCCAGCTTCTGGTGCTTTGCTGGCCAGGCTGCTGCCACGGATCCCCCAAGCCCCTCGCCCAGATGGGAGTCCCACCTGTGGGTGTCTTAGGGGGCAGTTAAGAGAACTGGAGCTGTCAGTGACCGAAGGGCAAACAGTGGCCTAAATAGGAAAGCTGTTCACCCCAGACGCCCAGGCAGCTGGAGCAGAAGGTTCCTGGGTTTGCACGGGTGCTGAATGGGCTCCAGGCAGCAATGTTGCAATTCTCATAACCTTCCCACTGCATCTCTACCCACCCGGGCCGGCCTCCCCCGCAGGAAAGAAGGGGTCGGTGCAAAGGCCTTTCCTTTAAAGTGGTTCTCTCCTGAAGGGTGAAACTCAGATTTCTCAGAAATGCCCCACAGCCCTCCAGCCATACGCTTGGTGCCCATGGAGGCGCTCTCCCTCCCAAACACCCAGGGCTGCCAGAGCCGGGCTGCTGTCTGTTCTCCTTGAGCTAGAGGTGATCAGGCAGAGGGATGACCTCTGAACTCAAGCACCATGTCCATCAACAAAGCTGGAAGGTATCTGGGGGTTGTTTCCCTCCGAAAAAGGGGGAAATGGGAGTGTATGGGAGACGGCCAGCAGGATTAGTCGCAGGAGCGAGGACGGGCACCAAGTGGGGAGGGGATGGGAAGACGTGGCTCCTGCCTGGGCAGCCTCCTGGCCTTCCTCTGGGGGACCACTGGCCCATGGCCCGGCAGAGGCTGCGTAGCTGGGACCTGTCTGCCCCACCCCGCGCCCAGAACCCCTGAGGGGGAACCTGGGATCAGCACAAGCAGAAAGCAGGCAAATGGGGAACCCAGCTCTGGTTTATTAGAAAAGGTGTGAACAGAGTTGCACCAACAGGAGCAGCCCCTCCCCCGCCCTCCGCCCGCTGCCGCCTCCCCGCCCCGTTCCGCCCCCACCCGGGTTGTAGTGCCTCTCAGGGCGCAGCCTCCAGGGGCCTGGACGGCAGGGTCTCCAGAGCCCTGGCTGC